AAAAATGTTTTTCTTATTGAATTGAATACAGTTCTCACTAAAATTTTAGTGAACAATGAGATTAAATATGCCTCATTATTTGAGCAAATTTTGGATAAACACCATGTTGTATAGAGATTTTTTTTTGGTCTGGTTCTAAGTTCAGTTTGTTTTTGACATTCAGTTTTAATGGTTGTCATAAGTGAAAGAAAGAATCTTCACTAAACCTCCAAATAGAAAAAATACATAATTGATAGCACATACTCATTTTCATTACCATCTGCTAATTAAGCAAACATTTTGATGAAATGTGGCTACTAACCTCCATAGTCCCTGACGCACATCAGTAGCTCTTGCAGACTAATTGGAAGATAAATCGTATTTTAATCATTTTAATTTGGGTACTTAAAATGAAAAGCACTAAAATTTTTTATACGGAACATTTTTGTATATTGTTTTTCATCCACCAGGGCCTCAAAAGAGGCTACTAGACATTTTTCATTAGATTTGATGAAACTTCATAAAGTACTTGGTAGGATATTGTATGACCTTAAACATTTTTGAAAAATTATCTTCATGTTCAGGATGTACATATACATACATATACATGTATAATCTCTATATATTTAGTTTTTGTATGTATTTGATAGCCATACACATGTATTTATACATAGTATTTACACTAATGGAATTATACATGTATATCCAAAAATACATATATACATGCAATTACATTTAGTATATAAGAAGATATATTTTTGTACATATAAGCATAATACACACTATGTGTAAATATACATACATACATACATATACCTAGTTAAGGCAACACTCATCATTAATGAGAGTGGATACACATTTGCAGTAGACTTCTCAACACCTGAAATTATTTTGCCTGAGTTTTGGTCAGATCTCCTTGGGTTGGTACTACTTCCCCAATGTATCTTATAAGGGACTACAGCTAGAAATGTAGTTCTGCCATTTTCTTGTTGGTTACCTTTACCTATGTTATTATTGTAGCCTTCAAACTGAGATGACTTGGCAAGAAACTTTTAAAACTGTGTATCTGGCTTGTTCAAGTTAGTTAAAACTAAGTAATTTAATCCATAAATCTGTTGAATCCAACAGGTCAACTGAAACATGTCTCAGGATGTTAAAAACAAATGAAAATGTGGGACACCACTATCACCCCCTCCATGGCGTGGGCCTCCTCCTTTTCCCTCATGGCACCTTCCATACTGTGACCCAAGTCTGTTCAGCCTATGACAAATGAGGGGACCAGTCTATTATATTCAATTCTGGTAGAACTAAGTTTCTTTAATATCTTCCCAGGTCCATGGATTTAGAAGTTTAAAGGAGTCTGCCTAAACATGTAGTTAAAGTTAAAAATAAATCATAGATCTATTCAAGGAACTCCCCAGAAATAGTCGTATACCTACAAACATCTATATTGAAGATGCTTGATCATTGAAATCCTGAAGCCTCAGATTGAGAACCCCTTGTTTAAAGACATTTTATGTCCTTAGGGAGTAATTTGGCCTGTTTAGAGATGCATTAGTATTTATCCACAGATTAAAAAAAAAACATATAAGCGTTTAGGATTCAGATTTCTCCAGTCAGGTTTGTGTTCCATTGTGTCACCTGTAGACACTATAGGAAGTCCTTTTTTACCTCCACCTCAACTTTTTTGAACATCCTGAAGATCTCCTTCAGGACATCTCCCAAAAGACAAGTGATATGTTAAGACTTCTCTAAAAGAGAAAAATAGAATTAGCATCTTGTTTAATTCTCTATTCTCCAAATAGCCCATAGAAGACAATGCAGGTTCCTTCTGCCATGAATTAAGTCGTTATCTGCTCTAATGAAATCAACAGGATCTCCAACAAACTACATCTTGATGGCAGAGGGAGAGTACTGGAACTGGTTTCTGTTTAGTCTCCCTTCCCTGCCTGGTCCCCGTGATCAGTGTTTCCATAGGGCCTCCACTGATACCCGAGTTCCCTTCACCTTTCAGACTGAGCCGATCTGAATCTCTCCCCTAATTCAATCTCTTTTTAAACTTCTTCTCCTAAGTTGCAAAGACTTGATGGAATAACTGATCTGGCCCGCCACCATCTCATGGATTTAATTTCATTCTTGTATTAATGTAAATTCTTCTCCTGGGAGATCTTCCACACTGTCCTCCCAGACCTTACACAATTAGAGTAGCATGTCCCCACTGCCCTGCTCTGTTTTTGGGGCTCCATGCAGCAGAGAGAGGGGAGAAAGGGAGAACATGGGATTTGGAGCCAGAAATAACAGTTTAAATTCAGGCTTAGCAACTATGAATGTCTTTGTGGCTTTGGGTTAGGCACTTAGCCCTTCTGAATCTCAGTTTCCTTATCTCCAAGTGGGAAGAAGGATATTTGCTGTGTATGATTGTGATGAAGATTCGACATTTCTTAATTTAAAAAGTGAATATCTTTTAATATATAAAAAACATACTTGGCCCTACAGTATTATTTCCCCCTTCCTTCCTTCCTTCCTTCCTCCCTTTCTTCTTCCCTCCCTCCCTTCTTCCTTCTCTCTTTCTTTTCTTTCGCATAATGTTCTTGGCTTGTTTTATGGTTTCTGCTTCTTTTACCTCTTTGAACAACTCAGAGTACCTATTTAAAATCTTTTTCAGATTGCTCTAGTATCTCTAATTTTGGGGTACAAGCTTTCTCTCTTTTTTTTAATAACTGGTGGTGGTTTCTTTTGATGGACTGTGTTTGGTGTGGTTTGTAATTTTTGACATTAGGCTCCTCTTCAGTGAAGAAGGTTTCTGTGGGTTCTTCACATGATCTAAATTGTAGGAGCACCCTGGAGGCTTGTTATTCAAAGACCATCCTCTCCCCTGCTCAAGGATACTGTTTGGTAGGTGTCCTTTCCCTTCGGTGCAATGCAAATCTTTCCTCCCTACTGGATCATTTCAATCAGCATGTAAACCGCAATATCTTCTAATTTGTCTCATTTTGATATTTCCCTTTATAGCAACATTTCTTGAATGACCTGTCCATATCCAATGCTCCAATTTTTCTCCCTTCATTCAGGGAGAACTTGCCCCAATCAGGCTTTCTGCACTCCTAACTTACTCTTGTCAAGGTCACCAATGATTCCTTGTTGCTAACAGTTCTCACTCTTCATCACACATTTGATCACCAGCATTTGATACAATTTATTCCCTTCTGTCTCTTCAAACATTTTTTCCACTTGGCTTCCAGGACATCACTCTCTCTGGGCTCCTCCCACCTCAGTGCTCCTTCAGCTTTTTCTTCTTGGATGGGTCCTCATTTCCTTGATCCTACATGTTGGTGTGTCTCAGGGGACAGTTCCTTACACCTTGTCTCTTCTTGGTTTTCACTCTTTGTCTTAGGGCTTGGGCGTTTGTTATGTCCTCTGCCTGGAAAGCTCCCCCAGATATCCACAAGCCTTGCTCCTTCACTGAAGGTCTGGGTTCTAGGTTGTTTTATCAGTTAGCCCTTCCCTGACCATCCCATATATAAATTACATTCCATCGCTAACTCTACCTATCTTCTCTTACCTTGATTTGATTTTCTCTACAACGTTTATCATTACCCACGTACTTATTACTTGTGTATTTATTTATTGTCCAGCTCCCTCACAAAATATAAGTCCCATGAGGGCAGGGACTTTGTTTATTTCAGTGTTGTATACCCAGCCATTGGAACAGTCCTGGCACAGAGGAAGCATCTGATAAATATTTATTGAATGAGTGAGTGAATAAGTGAATGGAAATAGATGACACCTTTCCATTATTTCCTAAACTGAGGTAGATGTCGCTCAACTTTTAAAATATATTTTTTAGCTTTTTAGTCTGTTTAAAAAAGAGAAATTCCATCTTTTGCCTTAAGTTGCCATTTTACAAATAAATTATTAAACTGCCAAGTGTCACTTTCATATCAGGAGCCATCTACCAGTGTCAGTGTTGTATACCCAGCCATTGGAACAGTCCTGGCATAGAGGAAGCATCTGATAAATATTTATTGAATGAGTGAGTGAATAAGAGCACTTCACTGTTCTGCAACTCCTGTTTTGAATGCTCTGCAGTTTGCTAACTGCCTGAGATTAAAAACATTTATGATACACTTTTAACCTGAGTCTTTCGAATTTGGACATGTTCCTTCTATTAACGCATCTTACTATCACAAGGTAACTTGTAACCAAATGCAGGATCATCTGCAAATGGGCAAGGGTGGACACTCAGAAACAGGTGACACAGCTGGGGCCATTACGTCGGTTAGGTATGACATAGAAAGAACGCAGAGGTACAGAATGGGGAGAGGGAGACGTGTCTGAGATGAGGTTAAATCATAGGACTTGCCGATTCTTGGTGTGTGGGAAAGGTAAGGAGAGGGGACGCGGGAGGCAAGGATGACATTCAGGTTGAAGTGGCGCGAGTGTAAGGGGTAAGAGGAAAGGGAGGGTATCAGAAGAGAGTAAGTAGTTAGAGAGATTAGCACTGCACTGACTTCCAACACGGGAGAAGTAGTAGAGCGCCCCGGAAATGCCAGTTGGTGAAAACTGGACAGGGCAAGGTCGGAGCCAATCAAATGCCCCAGGGAGGCCAAGCGAGGTGAGAAAGTCCAGGAGGAGAGGGATTCCGGTTAAGCACTGCGGATAACTGCAGAGTTCAGCTTTAGGTGTGGGCCAGGGCAGGGTCGGGATAGGCAAGGGAATTATCTCTGTAGCCCTCTCAATGCTTGGTCCAGGGCCTGGCAAAAACTAGGGCCTCAATAAAGTCGGTTTGGGGTGAATTTAAGAGAATCGGGAACCTCGAATAAAACACTGAATAGCCGGCTGTGGGTTACGCAGAGCAGCTTCTGCGCAGAGGGGGCAGCCAGGCGCGCGACCAATCAGGGCCTGCGCCTCACTTCCGGCACCGCCCCGCCCCCGCCGCAGCTCGCAGGCTGCATGAGCAGCGCGCAGCCGCTCGTCTCCCGGAAGTGCACCCGGTGCCGGCGCCACGGGCCGAGGTGATCGCGCGCGGGCTGGGCGGGCCCGGCAGCAGCCGGCGGGGTTCGGCCTGGCGCGGTCTGCGTCCGCGCGGGACTCGGCCGGTTCTACCGGAACCACGCGGGGCCTGCGCCCTGGAGCGCGCTCGGGGACGCGGCGAGTGCGGGGGCGGAGCAGCGGGGCTGAGTCTGACGCTGGGGGCTGGAGACGCCTGTACGTCCCACGGCTCTGCATCTCCGAGCCGGTGGATCCCGCCGGACTCACTAGGGACGTCTCTGGACTGGGATCGAAAACCGGCCCTTTCCTCCTGCCTTCCCGCAAAGGCTGGAAATGCGCCTCGGGAGGAGAGAACCCGGATGGGCCCGTGCCCGAGTCTTTCCAGGGTGCTGTCGCTGGAGGGGTGCGGAGGGTGGAGAACACATTAGTGGAGAGCACCGCCCCGCGCCGTGCAGGGTTTGAGCAGCTCTGGCCCCCGGGGCGCTCAATGACAGTAACTCCCCTGCTCCCCCGCCCCGCCACCGGCCTTTAGTGACAGCCCCCAAACCCGCCTCCACAAATGTCCAAACGTTGCCAGCTCTGCCGTCCCAAAGCACAGGTGTTACAGCTTCCCGGGTTTGGATCTGGCCGCCATTTGTGAGCCTCAGAGGTTCCTGATCTGTAAACATTAATATTTACAGGTTGATTGTGAGTATTGACATGAACAGGGCCTAGTATGGAGCTGATACATAGCGTTCAAGAAAAAATGTACTCAGACACTCGTTAAAGACGGTAAGGCTCACTCCGGTCACATTCAGGGTGAAGACTACAGTGGGGTTTGGCAGTAGCAGGGAGAAATTGGCTGTACTCTGCGTACAAGATCAAATGGAGAATTACAGCCAAGGAACAGGGTGTGGGGGTCAAGGGGATGGAAAATTACTACGAAGAAATATCTGGTGGAATGGGGGATTCTGGCTAAACCCACTTGACAAGATTTTTATTGAAGGTAGGCCAGGGTGATAAGGACTTTAGATACCAAGGGTTGTCAGATTCCAAGGTTGGGAGATGCAGAATTTAACCAGGTATCAAGTTGGGGGATTTTCCTTAAACTGGATCCCCCAAGATTCTTGTTAAAACTGTACAAAAAGGGCCAAGAACAGAGCCCAAGGGCCAGGCCTGGTCAAGAAGAGGACTCAGGTGCTTGACAAAAGTTTCGTGAAGGAGAGAGAGTTCGACCATAGTAGGTGTGCAACAAATGGTCGCTTACGCAGGTATAGTAAGTACACTTAGCTAGATACACATTTTTAATTTATTCTAATTTGTTATTAACTTTAATAAGCATAACAATTATATGTTCAGGATAACTTGAACATTGGGATATAAACCTATAAACCTTTCAGAAAGTCATTTAAGTTTGAATAATTGGGGCATTTTTCTTATTTTGTGAGAGTATCATTACTAAAATCAGATTTAAGTCTTTTGTAAGATATATAGTTTTCCCTAAACGTTAACTAAACTGTTGTAATTCAGGAACGAAATAGATCTGAATAAGTCTGCCCATCAGTGTCTTGCTATCTGAAATCTTTCTGCTTGTTATTTGTAACTCAGATGCCAAATAGTGAAGGATATGTGTATATTTATACAATTTTTAAACATTTATTTAAAACTGTACATTTCTAAGTAGTGCTTTAGTAGTTTCCTAGAAATTTAGATATATTGGTTTTATTGTCATTCAACATGAAAATGTATTTTACTTTACTTTTTCTTTGACCAGAGGTTACTTAACAGTGTTACTTAATAATTTCCATATGTTGGCATTTTCTCAATCTTACTGTTACTGATTTCTAATTTAATTGCACTGTGGTCAGAGAATATGTACTTTTAAGATTCCAGTCTTCTGAAACTTAATTATGCATAAGTTACTGATTTCTAATTTAATTGCACTGTGGTCAGAGAATATGTACTTTTAAGATTCCAGTCTTCTGAAACTTAATTATGCATATGGGCTATTTTGGTGAGTGTTTCATAGGCATTTGAAATGAGTGTGTTTTCTGCAATTGTTGGGTCTAAATGTCAATTATATGAAGTTGGTTAGTGTAGTTCAGATTTTCTGTATCTTGATTTTTTTTTTTTGTCTACTTGTTCTAATTACTGAGAGAAAGTTTGTCAGTTTGAGATTTTGAGTGGGAGAGGTGAACCCCTTACCTAACTTTGTGGAAGTATAATGGACAAACAATAAACTGCACATATTTAAAGTGTATAGTTTGGAAAGGTTTCACACACATGCACATGTGTGAAGCCACAGTCATATCCATCCTTCCAAAGGTTTCCTTTTGCGCTTTTGTAACGTCCCCTACCTTTCTCCACTCCTCCAATCCTGAGGCAACTACTGAACTGCTTTCTGTTACCTTACATTAGTCTGCATTTTCTAGAATTTTATATAAAATAGCATCATGCCACATGTACTCTTATCCTTTTATGATTGAGAATTTGTCCCTGTAGATCTGGTACTAGGTGTGTACCATTTAGGGTTGCTTTCTGTTCTAGATGACTTGACCCAATTATCATAATGAAACGTCCTTTTTCTCTATGTCAGCAAAGTCTTTTGTTCAGAGGCTAATATAGCCATAGCAACTTTCATGTGCTGGCTGTTTACAGAGTTTTTCTTCCATCACGTTGTTTCTAATCTGTGTCTTTATGTATAAAATGTCTCTTGTAGATGGCATACAGTTGACCTTGCTTTTCAAAAAATCTGACAGTCTCTATAATTCAAGTGTTTAGTCTGTTTACATTTAATGCAATTATTGATGTGATTGATTGTTAGTCTATCATATTGTCTTTTTTTCCATTTGATCTTTCTGGTTTTTATTCTTGATCCTTTCTTATCACATTTTAGGTATTGAGTGTTTTTTAGTATTCTTTTATGACTTTTTAACTATCTCTTTGTATAATATTTTTACAGCTAGCAGTATGTATCCTTAAATTATCAAATTTTCTTTAATCAGAGGCTACTTTAATATTGCACCACTTTATATCTCACAGTTCACATTTCTTATTTCCTGACTCAATACCTTTACATTTCCCATTTGTTGCTTGACACTTAGCACTACCCCTTCTTACTTCCTGATTTTCAGTTAGCAGTTCCTAAATGTATCAACCTAACAACAGATTAATTCTATTACCCTCTCCTTGCAGTATTTTTATATTTTCTACTTACACTATTATATTTGCTTTTAACAGTCAGTTGCCTTTTAAGGAAATTGGAAGAAATAAAAGCATAGTATTTTTACATTTGTTCACTATGTATTTACCATGTTTAGAGATCTTCATTCATTAATGTAGATATGAGTTTCCTTTATTAGAAGAATGCCCTTTATCATTTCTTACAGTACAAGTCAGTAGTAAAAATTCTCCTAGCTTATTTTTATCTGAAAAATGTTTTTATTTTAATTCTTGGTTTTGAAAGAGGTTTTTGCTGGATGTGGAATTCTGGTGGATTTTTTTTTCTAGAATTTGCATTTCATTCTTTTATAATTTCTGTTTCTCTGTGGAAAGTCCCTATCTCTTCTCTCATTGACTATATTTTTCTTTAAGTCCTCAGGGCAACTTGGGGTTGGTTTCTCTTGACTACATTTTTCTTTGACTTTGAGTCAGATTTTCCTATTTTTTTATGTCTAGTAATTTTGGATTTCCTGGATATTGTGGATGGCACATTGTAAACAGTAAGGATTCTGTTATAGTCCTCTGAAGAGTGTTAATTTTTGTTCTAATAGGCGGTTGAGTTACTGACTGATCACCTTTAATTTACACTGGCTCGATTTTATTCCTTGTTAGGGCAGATCTTGCTCATGTGGAGGCTAACCCTTTGCCATGGGCTCATAAGGAAACCCACATGGATGTCTGTGCTGCACCCCCACAACTCTCTCTTCTTCATTGGCCTGTTCTTCAGATTCCAGCCACTTGAGCAGCTCCAAATTCTGATCTCCACCTCCTTATTTTAGTGAGTCACTGAACTCTGAGCACCATAGCTGGGAATTGTCCCAGTGCAGACATCCATCGTGATCATGGGGCTTACCTTGAGTTTTTCTTCTTGCAGGGATTCCATTCTTGTCTGCTTATTGTCCAGTGCTTGAAAATAGGTGCCTGATAAGTTTTCTCCACTTTTGTAGTTTTTTTTACAGTGGGTGGTCTAGTTTATACTATCAGCTCTGCCATGGCCAGAAACAGAATTCCCCAAGTATATACTTATAGAGCATATAATATATGACATTGTAGCACACTGGGTTCTGTATGAATATATAAATGAAATATGTGGTTTCTTTTTCAACAAAAAATTAGTGAAGTCTACAGGAGAAACATAATATTGGATTAACTCCTTTTACCTCACTCTTTCCTTTTTTGCACTCTTGAAAATTGTTTTCTTATCTTTTTGGCTTCTAAGTGATTTCTGATATAGGAATTGTTTGAGGGAAGTGGTCAGTGCTAATACTGAAGGAAAAAACAGCTATTAAAAGCTGGAGAATTATACTGATCTCTGATTGAGCCTGACAGATTAAGTGATTGGGTGTTTTTTTATTGTAACAATTAGTGTTATGGAGAAATGATACCCTCTAGCTCCTTATTAACATTTAAGGATTGACCCAATAATTCAGTATTAGGATTATATACAAAAAGTTAACTAAAAATAGTGTATGAACCTTTAAAAATATCCAAATATTAACTTTGCCATTTAATATTTCTCTTTTCACTATCTTGGTTGCTCTCTTCTCAATTTTGATACCATTCACCATAAAATACTTACTTACTTCAAGGTAGTTTTTAAGGTGGTCAGTATTTGTTCTAATCCTTCTCTAAACCCAAGGTAGAAAATTTCAGGTGTAACAGGATTTTCATTAAATTCCTAAAAAGACCAGTTTTTACCATGGCACTCAAAAGAAGTCACTTAGAAATTTCACTGTACCTTTTGGGGTAGAGTTAATTTGTTCTCTTAGGCCTCATTTTATTGTGGAAGCATCTCATCATTTCAACATTAGCCTTTACTTCCAGGGCATTGATATCTTTGTTCAGCTTTATTTTTTAGTCTGCCGACTTGTGGGTACAGATATAGAAGTGCTGTGTGGAAGAGCAGTTCACCTGGAAACCAATAGTGAGAATGGTCTGCATGGTGCATTTGCTTCTTGTACTTGATCTGGACGTTTGCAGAGCAAGAGAGAATGTTATAAAATGGTCAGGGTGGTGGTGACAGTTTAGATACAGTATTAATAATTTGCTTTGTGGCATCAAGTTTACAATCTTTCGAAATAGAATAGTATGTCCATTGATTTCAGAAGATCTAAGGTTCCCTCTGAGGCCTCTCAGGTCGGGGACATGAATTTGTTTTTTCTGAAAATGTGCCCTTCTCCTCTGTGTAGCATTTGCTCTCACTCCCTCTTTAGTATCTCTCTGAGAGGCTCTGTGAAGACCTGGTTCTCCCCAGAGACAGCTCCATCAGAAGCTCTCCTCCTGAAAGGACTTGCCAAGCCGCATGATGCCTGTTGAGCTGGGGCAGGCCCCTGTTCTGCTGCCGCCCCTGGCGAAGGCTGAGGACCCTCCGTGTTCTGGACCAGATGCCACCCCTCGAGAGGAGCTCTCTGGCCCTGAGGCTGCACACCAGCTTTTCAGGCAGTTTCGTTACCAGGCGACATCTGGGCCCCATGAGACCCTGAGACAGCTGCGGAAGCTCTGTTTCCAGTGGCTGCAGCCAGAGGTGCACACCAAGGAGCAGATCCTGGAGATCCTCACGTTGGAGCAGTTCCTGACTATCCTGCCCGGGGAGATCCAGATGTGGGTGCGGAAACAGCGTCCAGGCAGTGGAGAGGAGGCCGTGACCCTTGTGGAGAGCTTGAAGGGAGATCCCCAGAGACTGTGGCAGTGGGTGAGCAGAGGGTGTTATCTGTGAGCGAAGCGGAGGGCTCCTTGGGCGTCTCAGCAGGCATGTTGTCTTTTTTCTGACACTATATGTGTGAGATTTTTCCACATCAACAACCAATTCTCCAGTGCTCTGATGCCTGCTAGGCATCCTACCGTTCAGTTCAAATAGACACTCTGGGGTTGGCTCAGACTCCCCGGCGTAAGGGTCAGTCTTACAATACTGCTCCCATTTCAGACCTCAGTCCCAGAGGGTTCCTGGGCTTACCATTGTCTGGCTAGCAATTCAGAGGTTCCCACAACCCCTTCCTCAGGTTTGATAATTTGCTAGAATGACTCCTAGAACTCAGGAAAACACTTTACTTACTTATGAGGATATGATTCAAAAACAGCCAAATGGAGGAGATGGGGGTTTTGTGGGACTTCCATGCTCTCTCTGGGTATGCCATCCTTCCAGCAATTCTGTGCGTTCACCAACTCAGAAGCTCCCTGAACCCCTAAAAATTAGCGTTTTTTTAATGGGAGGTTCATTACTTGGACAAGATTGCTTAATCATTGGTCACTAGTGGTTGAAAATCTCCAGCCTCTCTCTCTTCCTGAGAGGTTGAGAGGTGGGCCTGAAAGTTCCCCTCTGATCACCTGGTTCCTCTGGGGACCTGCCTTTATTCTGAAGCTCTCTGGGGGTCCCCCAAGAATCATCTCATCAGCATTAGCTCAGGTGTGGTTGAATAACAGAAGTCGCTCCTGTCCCTCCTATCCTTCAGGTAATTAGAAGGGCTTAACATGCTCTGGGCCAGGAACCTCAGACAGAGAAAAAATACGTATTTCTTGTCAGGGTCTTCCACATCAGTGTATCCCTATTCCTCACCTAATTCTGAGACTCTCTGTGACTCTCAACACTTTTTAGACATTAGGGGTTGCAGATAAAGTCCCCCATCCCATTCCATCTTTAGGCTAGAATGTTCGAGAAATTCAAAAGATGCCTGAGTTTTAATTGGTGGTGACTATTCTGTAGAGGCACAGTACTGGTTGCCAGTGTCGGAGGTCTCTTGGCCTGCTTCACGCCTCAGCTTGTGGCCTCTCTCGGGATGTTTCCCGCACCAGTTCCTGCAGGACTAGTCATAAAGCTGGGTTTCCCTCTCCCTGCCCCATGACCTCAAGGACAGTCTTACGATCGGTTACAGGGGTTAGCTTTGCATCGTTCAGAAACCCTCATCCTGGGTCTTCAGTAATTAATTAATTCTGTGTGGTCTCTAGATAAGCAGCCAAGTTCTAGGACAGGAAATTTTATCAGAGAAGTTGGGACCTGCAAGCTGCGCAGCGGGGGACATGGAGCCCCCTCTCGAAGTGGTGCCTCAGGAGCTGGGACTTGAGAATTTGCCCTCTGGGCCTGGGGAGCCACTGCACTGCGCTGTGAAGGAGGAGTCTGACACGGAACAAGAGTCGGGTAAGGGACACTTATTCCCGGCCAGTGGTGCTGTCCTGGAGACGTTTGGGGGTTGTGGGTAGTGGGCCTGAGGGGGAGTTGGAAGTGGTATGCTGCTCAGATGGGGAAATCTCTGGGAAGTTTGGGAACAGCATAGACCTCCACAGATCACTCTGATTTGGAGACTTGGAGTCTAATGTAAACCACTTCATGACGGCTAGACCATTTGGATTTTGGTTTTGAGGAAGGAGGTGGGAGAAGATAAGGGTGAGATGGTTTGGGAGGTGGGAGGGAGTTGGAGTTTGTTAGGGAGGTAAACATAAGGCTTGAAATCGAGGGTGGTCGGGCAGGTGTCAGCCCTGCTTTGTGAAGATTTGTTACCTGTGCCCCGGGGAGTGGTTATCGGGGCCGTCTAGGCTCTTCAATCTCCTGTTTCTCAACTTCAGTGGTGGCTGCTTCCCAGCTTCCTGCCCAGCCTGAAGAGAGGCTCAGCGGGGACCAGGCCTTTGGAGCCTCTCTTCTCCAAACAGCACCGCAGGTGAGCTGGGTCCCTCCGCTCCTTTTCCCCAGAGAGGTGCGTGTCAGCAGTCAGGAGCTTTTTGGGGAGAGGCATCCACAAACTGAAGCAGAGAGGAGGGCCCAGCAAGGGTAACAAGAATGATACACATGGAATGCATCCGGAAATCAGTATTTCTCTTAGGGCACTGTTTCCTAATTACCATCTTGAATAATAGAACCTGGGCCTGGAAGACGTAGCAGTGAAGAGGCACTCTTGTCTTTCCTTTTTATTATCTTTGGGTTATGCCAAGAAAAGTCTTTTATTTCCTAGTCCAGGCCTCTCACACAGGAGTCAGTTTGAGATTTTGAGTGGGAGAGATGAATTCCCCTATCTAACCTGTGGAGGTGTAATGGAAAAACAATCAACTGCACATAAAGTATATAGTTTGGAAAGGTTTTGATACAGTCAAGATAAACATATCTGTCCTTCCGGAGGTTTCTGTTTGCCCTTCTGTAATCCCCCCATGCTTCTCCACTCCCGAGGCAACTACTGAACTGCTTTCTGTTACCTTACATTAGTCTGCATTTTCTAGAATTTTATATAAAATGGCTCATGCCATATGTACTCTTATCTTTGTTCTTCTGCATATAATGTATCTTTCTTGCTTCTTTTAGTGTGTTCTCCCTGGTTCTAAACAGTTTGACTGTGATGGACCTTGGAGTCATTTTCTTCAGGTTTCTTGTACTTGGGATTCATTGAGCTTTTTGGATCTGTGGGGTTGTAGTTTTCATCAAATTTGGTAAATTTTTGGTCATTATTTCTTCAACTGTTTTTTTATTTCCTACCCTTCCTTTTCCACTTTTTTGGGGACTCTGAGCACACATGTGGGTTGACAGAGAAAAAAATTCATATTTCTTGTCAGGGTCTTCCACATCAGTGTATCCCTATTCCTCACCTAATTCTGAGACTCTCTGTGACTCTCAACACTTTTTAGACATTAGGGGTTGCAGATAAAGTCTCCCATCCCATTCCACCTTTAGGCTAGAATGTTTGAGAAATTCAAATGTATCTTTATACTTTCATTTGGTTATTATTTCTTCAACTGTTTTTTTATTTCCTGCCCTTCCTTTTCCACACTTGAATAATGTAAACAGAAGTCTCTGAGTATATAATGAGAAAGTGTACATGTTCATAAGATCTCTTTAAATCATCCCACAGTTAGTTTACTGATGCTCTTTTTTTTTAAAACATCTTTTATTTTGGATAGTTTCTGTTTATGTGTCATCAGGTTTATTAATTTTTTCTGCATTGTCTAATCTGTTAATGCCATCCATTGTATTTTTCATCTCTAGAAGTTTGAATTGGGGCTTTATTATATCTTTATGTTTGTTCTTAATGTGTTGTCTTTCCTCCAGCTCCTTGAACGTATGAAATACAATTGTAATATCTGTATTAATGTCCCTGTGTACTAATTTATCATCTCCATCAGTTCTGAGTCAGTTTTCATGGATTGATTGATCTTATTATGAGATGATTTCCTGCTGCTCTGTTTGCCTGGTAATCTTTGATTGGATGTCAGGCATTGTGAATTTTACCTTGTTGAGTGGTGGATAATTTTACATTCTGTAAATGTTCTTGAGATTTGCTCTGCGATATGGTTAAGTTACTTGGACATAGTTTATTATACGGCACCAGAGAATCCTTTAGGGCTAATTTTTCCCACTTACTGAGGCAATGCCCTTCTAAGTATTCTATCTGATGCTCCTTGATGTACAAGGATTTCCACTCTGGCTGGTAGAAATGTCAAGTATTTCCAGCACTGTGTGAGTTCTGGAGATTATTTTCTGGGCTGCTTTTGGGGGATCTCTCCTAGATTCAAGGGGCACCCTCTGCAGAACTCCAGAGCTGTCTTTTTTGTGGAGCTCCCCCATCTTTGGTCTTCTGCCCTGCTGACTCTGTAATTGCCTGAGCCTCCTAAACTCTGAGCTCCGGGGGGCTGCCTGGCTCCACCTGGGTTCCCTTCTCTGTGCTGCTGTGGAAGCTGTCTCCAGGCAGTAAGTTTGGGCTCCCCTAAATTGTTTCCTTGCTTTCAGGGAATCTGTTCCACTTTGCCTAATGTGTAATGGCTTCAAACCATTATATGTTATATTTTGTCCCATTTTCCAATTGTTTCAGGCAGAAAGGTAAATCTAGTCCCTGTTAATTCATCTTGGCTATAAACAGAAGTCTCTGGAATAGGTTTATTTTGTTGATGCATTTAACAACTCTGAGAAGTCCCAGTGTTTCAGGAACCTATGCACCTAAATCAAAACATGGTTTCAAACCTTTGGGGGGCTCTTCTTGGGGCTTGCCTCCTGAGGTAGTTCAGAGTAAAGGTGAAGATAGGGAAGCCAGTAGGTGGTGCTTAACGTGGCGCTTAAGTCAGGTCTGAACTTCAGCTTTCCCGGCTCAAAGATTTAGAAATCAGTATACCAACTTTGTGGTTCACTCTGGAGGTGAGGGCTGGGAAGGGGGCATGGGAGGGGTATTCCTTGTTATTGCCTCAAGGGTACCCTTCTCTCTGCCTTCAAGATACCTAGAAATGAAATTGTTAGGTCGTGGCTTGTTGAAAAAGATTTGGGGGCATATTACAAGCACACTTGGAGGATTATTGCTTCTGTAGTAAGTACAGAACATCCTCGTAAAAGGTATATATAATTTAGAAACATATTGTAACTAGTAGAGTTAAGTTGTATCACATTAACAGCATTAATCATGACTTGTTCTGGATAGCTTTAAGTTCAGATGAAAAATGCTCACCCAGCAGCATCATATATATGTACAGAGATACATAAAACTCCCTGTATTTAGCAGATAGCTGATTAGCAGCTGCTCAACCCCGACAAACAAAAATCATCCCTACCCAATACCCTCCCTCAAACTCACAGCACCTATTTGCCTTAGACCTTGATATTAATGGGATCTTATCTAAGTGAAGGAACATTTTCAGTATAAGTAGACATTCCCTCTAATCTCGTCTAGAAATTAGGAACTTCATGAATAATGCCAGAATAATGAAGTAGCATTCCGACACGGTGGTTCTTCATTCACAGAAACCATGGCTGAGTCAGAGCCTCCAGCGCTGGTGATGCGTTTACTCACATGCCTGGGTTTCCAGGCTCAGGGATAACTATGCAAGTCGGTTGTGGCAATGCCTCATTAGCGCACAAGATGGTGCTGTTACCACACAAACCCAAGATCTCCCCATCAAATCCATACTTAGTCCTTCTGGAATAGGAATTTAGATTTTTTCCCCTTTTTATAAAAATGAGAAAAGGGCAGGATGGCTGAAGTTGCTGTCCTGCCCATAGAGTTCAAGGTTTATCCAAGCATCCCTAGCTCCTCGGTCATTCCTTAAGTGTGTGGCCTTACCCTGAAGGTACACTGTTGAGCATACTGTGCATCTTTTCTGGTTTTGGAAGAGCAGATTGTGGCCCTTGGGGATTTTGGTGGCTGTGTTCTTTCTGCTTTGTACTCTACTTGGTAGCTGCCATTCTGGTGCCCGTGGACTAGGCCCCATGCCCAGCAAGCCAGGCAGCCAAGCAGATATCGCCGTGCTTGGCATGTCCATCCTTTCCTCTTCCGGTGCCAGACCAAGGGTGTGTGTGTTCTGACCACCATGACAGAACCCCTGTGTTCAGCAATGTTTGCTCAAGCTGGTTTATTTTCAGGAGGTTGTTTAGGTAACTTCATTCACAGATTAACAAAATAAGGTGCTAACAATTCAGAGTTTAAACATTAAAATTAAAATTCATATTTAAAATATGGTTTTAGTTAATAGTTCCATATGTAGTCATATATATTGAGGTTACTTTCACATTTTCACCCTAAAATATCCCATCCCTCTTTCTTTTTCAAATTTTTGCTTAGTATCTGATAATGAGAGACTTTTTGCTATCTCCATTCTTTTTCAGCCATTCCCACTTCCCTTGATATGTTACAAGGCAGGCTTGAATTAGGCCTGAGAGTGGCCTCCCTGAGTGGTATATTGTGTATAAGAGGAGGATGACTTCCTCTCCTTCTCTCTTTGTTTCTGCTCCCTATATTCTCATCCTTCATGACAATAATAGGTGACTGTCAACTTTGGGGTTCCTGAGAGTGTACAGAATCCCCTAATTCTCTCTGCAAACCCTCGGGGCTGAGTCGGAGCAACTGAGCATCACACAGATGCATATGCTGCTTCTCCCAACATAAATCACCTACTGAGGGCTGACTGCTGAAGGTTTTATTTCACCTGGACAATGTATGTTGACTGCCTATTTCTCTGTTGGTCAGGGTCCCAGGGACTGGAAAGTACAATGGAGAGTCCTCTTCTCTTGAAGCTTACATGCTAGTAGAGGCAACTATTAATCAAGCACCTATGTGTGTATATGTGTATGCACATGCATACACACAGACATATACATACCCCAAATTGTTTAATAAGCTGTATGAATGATATGAATGTAAAGTGCAATGTGCTTTGAAAACAAATGACACTTGCCTAAATTCTGTTAAGCCTCATGACAGTTACTTGAGTTCAGTACTATAATTAGGTGAGGAGTGAGGCTTTTAACTCCCTTGCTTAAAGATCACACAACTAGAAAGTGGCAGAGCTGGCCCTTGAACCCTCTATGTCTGACTACAGAGACTATGCTGTCAATCATTCCTATACAAACAGTTTCTGACAGTCAGCCCCTTGGTGGGATGATAGAAATTCGAATTCGCAAAAGGAGATGCTAATTCGATAGGGTCCTAGCATTCCCACGCTGCAGTCTCCAGTTCCATAGGAGAAGAAGGAAGGGCCTGTTTGGGGGAGAACTGAGGGATACCTCACTCCAGAGAACCCATCAATTTCCCACTAACTGGGTGGAAAACTGATTTAATATTAGACTCTAAAACCAGGACTATCGGGAGATTCCAAGTGTATTTGGCCACTGCCTCTCTCTGCTCTGAACCTGCCAGTCATCGTTTCGGAGGCTTATAATTCAGTTGACCTAATTGTTGACTCTTCCCACCATTTTGCTGATTTGCATTTGCTTTTGCAACAAATTGCTTTTTAATTTATTTCTTTTCCCTCTTGAGTTTCCCAATTTTAATGAAATATTGGGAATATTAGACTCTCAACTGTTCACAGACCTCATTTACAAGGACTAAAAGAGTTAAAAAAAAAAGGCACAGCGTAGAAAAAGTTCCTGTCTTCTCTGTGTTGTCCATTCTTAAACACATACAATTTAAAGAAATCCAGAAAGGGTAAGAAGTACCGATGTGGTTTCCCCCTTGGCCTCTTCCCTTGAACCCCTCCCGTGATCTTGCAGATCTCTGCTGGCTGGGACCCGAGGCGCATCCCTTCCCTCCCAGCTTCCCCGTCGGCGGGGAAGGCAGAGTTCAAGGCCCTCCACTCAAGTCACCGTGTTGTATTTTTCTAGGTGCAGTGGAGGCACCTGGATTCCACTCAGAAGGAGCAGTACTGGGACCTCATGCTGGAGACCTATGGGAAAATGGTCTCAGGAGGTGAGGGATGCGCCAGCTTGGTGGAAGGAGATGGAAAAGATGGTCAGACATTTTCTGTGCACTTTTGGAAATAGCTGTTGTGCTTAAAGTTCCCTGGCTGAAGGGAGTTCTCAGAGACAGGGCTGGGCACTGGAGATAGTGGGGTTAGCCCTGCAGCTTCCTGGCCCTGAAAGTTCTGTGCCCATGAGCTGCCATTGGTGCATGACACAAGCTAACTCCTGTGCCCCATGGGATGGGCAATGATGTCGCCGTTTTACAGGCGATGAAAGTGCATGTCAGGTGAGGTCCCTTGCTCTCTGTTACGTGCGTGGCTCTTGAGTGTTGAGTCACAGTGGCACTCAGTGTGGCAGGCTCTTGAGTCTGCATTCTTTTCTACTGAACCACACTGTCCCAACCCACCTCTCTTGGGGACCCAATCATGAGCCTTGGACGAGCCTGCCTGGTGGGCTGCAGGCCCTCCTGGTCACCCGCCCAGACTTCTTTTGATGGCTTTCACCGTATATCCTGGTCATCTTGTGAGTACTGGTGTCTGAGAATCCCCGCACATCCTTGTAGATGAGTTTCCTTAAGTGGTATCCAGAGCCTTCAGTTTCCATCTCACGCCCAGGGTGTGCCTTTGGAAGACACAGCTTGGGGCCTAGTCCTCCCTGTTCATCTGGGCCCACATGTTATCTCTCTGTGTCAGGCATTTCCAGTTCTAAGCCTGATCTGACTAATTTAACAGAGTATGGGGATGAGCTGGCAGGA